TCACCCCCCCGCAGTGTCCCGGGGACTCAGTGGATGGAAAACCTGAAACTGAGTGCGGAAGAGTAAGTGTCTTTGCTGTTTGGGTGATGTGTACTCCATGCATTCAGTAAGTAGCCCAAGAGTAAACCTCCTTACGGCTGACGATGAGTCAAGCAGCCTGAGATCCCTATGCGGTTGGACCTTGACCCGTTTGGACCGGTATAAGCGATAGCTTGGGTACGGCAAGAGCCAGCGCTGTGCGCTCGAGTAAGCTCTCTATGATACAATACTTGTAAATATATTTTACTAAATATATATATATATATATACACGCACACATACACCCATACACACATATACATACGTATATGTATATATGTATATACATACGCGTATGCGCATTTATCTCTTTATTTCTTTTTTTGTTCTTTCTATGGAATCTGATTTTTTGCTTGAATTATTTTTTCGTTTTTTTTTTTTGTTTCTTTTTTCTCATGCAGCCGATTTTCAAGTACATCGCGTACACGCCACGGAATCGATGACGAAAGGTCGTTTCTATGAATCGAGAAAAAGAGATGCAAAACGAAAGACAATCTTAACAGATATATAATCGTTTAACTAAACTCTGTAATTTACACACACGTAAAGATATTCTGGTTTTCCCCTCTGTTAAATAACGATAAAAAATATAAACGATTCATTATACGATGTATACTAGATTTCGCGAAGCACGATCGTTAGAGAAGCTTACACATGTATAAAATATAGAAATTAAGTAGAAAATAGTTGCTCAGATTCAATGTAAATACAACAAAAGATAAAACTAAAATAAAAGGACGTAAAAGTTTCGATAAAAAAGTCTGCAAAAAATTGATGCGCTTAACGAGAAACTATATATATAGATAGCATCTTTTGCTAATTAGCTAGTAACCTTAACATTCAACTATTAACGTGGCCTTGCCGCGTATATTTCAAGAATACTTGTACGAAATTAATAAGTAAATACTGTGAAACAATAGAACATTACAATAAACGAAACGTTATACGTCTCTTTAGAGAAAAAAATGTACAATATATAACCGAAAAAAAAAGAGGAAAAATGTTTCGTCTTTGTCAGATCGATGATCGTTGTAACAACAACAGTAATGTACAATACATTCCTATAATTTTTGTTCCTCTCCAGCATACTCTTTACTTCCACGTTATGGATTAGAAATTTAAACTTTGATTATTAGATAAGACTTTTAACGAATATTACTTTTCATTTAATCAATCGACGGATCAAAATTCGTAGCATTTTTAAGCAATGCGATTGTAACCTATAAATCATCAATGGCTTACTTTCCATACAATCGCAAAGTCGAAAGAAATTTTTGAATAATCGATTAACCTCGCTCGACATATCGATGTGTTTAGGACGGCAATCGTTACATTCTCTTGATTGATTCGCGCCATTTTCAACGACCATCGATAATCGAGTGTTTTGACAAAAACGTGGTACATGACAACCAAAAGAGATATATCGCAATATGACTATCGATGATACGACACGGGGCACAGAAAATCTAATGCACCAGATATAAGACTAAAAAGAAACTCGCCTTACTACATCTAGTGATGATAAAGTGTTTGCTCTCTTTTTTTTTGTTTTCCTTTTTTAAACGTACGGATATAATTGTTACGAGGTAACTCTACACGTAACGATAGGTACACGGTATAGCAGTAATTTCCTGTTCGAATAACGCACAAAACCGTCTTTTTTTTTTTTAAAGCGTAGGCCGGACTAACTCGTCTCTCTTGAATGTAAACATAACCTTCTTTGCAGCTCGACACCACGAGCCACACTTCATTTCTTGGTATTCTCGTTCTGACTAGATTTACGATAAGTGCACAAACGCAGATGAATGATACTTATCAATTGGACAATTTTTTGAGATTACTTTAAATATAGCTTTCTTTTCAAACAATAACAAAAATTGTTATCGAGTTAGGTTAGAAACTCGATGCGCGTTTAATACTAAAGACCATACTATGTACCAATAAATAAATAATCAATTTAGTTTTCATGAAAAAGATTCCCAACAACAAGGATATAGCACTCTAAATTTAGTACACGGAGAACATTATCGATTCATCGGTCGAAACATCGATAGGATACTATATTCACTGGTCAATAATTATTGCTATGCAAGCAAAAGCTGTAAAAAGATACGATCAGCTACATTTGCATGCGAACGATCATTATTTCGCATCAATGATCGCAAGTACGACATCGCTTTTATGAAAGCGATACCGTACGTACATTACGTACTCTTATAATAGATTAATTCTCCTTGTACCGACGATATTCATCTCGTACATCGTTAATTACTAAAATCGTGCGACGAATACACGAAATGTTCGTGGCTTGAAACATTGTTTTGTTCACACTTCGATTGTAACAGTGCTGCAACTTTCGTACTTCAAGTCCTGCACAAAATTGAAGCACGTAAAGAGCAGCACACTACGTAGAGTTATTCTACTAATGAATTTTTCTTTATTTTTTTAAATGAACCTAATACCTACGGAGGACATAAAAATGTACGAGTATGACACGACGACAATGATCACGACACTGAGTAACGCGTTTTGTATCGTGCCAATAAGCCACTAGAATACAAACTGGGGCTGAATGTTTGTCGTCCAGTGACTCATTGGGAGACAGCACGCTAAAATATTTTTTTCTTTTCTTTTTTTTGCTTTGCACTACTGCATGATTTTACTGCAGTTCTTTTGTCTGAATTTATAATTACTAAAACGTATTATCAACTAACTTTTACTCTATCGTTACTATTTACCAATTAAATCTTCTGTTTATAGCTATCAACGATGATTAAAGTTTACACCAAAGATTAAAGTCGGATAGATATGAGATCGTGATTGATACGCGATCTAACCTCACAATTCGCTCGTGAGACTTTATGGGAAATCTGAACGAAATCTTTGGTATAAACTCGACGGCACGGAACAATGGACTACGCACCCAAATATTAGAGTATTTTTCATTCGCTTCTTAAAATTCGAGAAATTTGTCTTTTTTTTTTTATCTCGAATTAATTTATCCCTTACTAACCATTAGCGTCAACAGTGATGCCCTACTCAATATAACCTCCATTGGTTTCTTTCACGCGCTTTAGTATTCTCATGTTGCAAATAAGGCTCGACTATTTCATCACTTAATACTAAGGAGCTTTCAGCTTTTTCTAATTTAAGTACACGAGTTGATGCTTCAAGCTTTTAAAGACACCTAACTAGAGACAACACGTACGAAGATTCTGGAAAGTGCATCAATATCGCTAGGTGAACTTTTTATAGTTCTCTTAACTCGCTTAGCGGTAACTTCACGCGTTTAACACGCATATATATGCCATGTATATGTAACACTTCGTGCAAGACTCGACAGATGCAACAACACCAGAGAATTTTACGCGATCGCCACTTTTGTCCATTCTCCAGTGTTCCTGATATCGAGACTTCTTTTGTTCACTGTAATTTAGGCGTATGTTAAAATAAGTTAAATTTATACGTGTATATTATTTTGTGTTAACTTTGACGGACACCACCAGTGGAATCCGTCGCGTCTGTGGTCGTTTAAAATTCTATGTTAAGTATGAAACTCCATGACCACCTGGTCAGATCGTATCCTGCTCGATCTTCACCACGCGAGCATGTTCCTTTTTAATATTATTATTATTATTTTTCTGTTATATTTAAATCTTATCGGAGAAGCGCTGCGAGATGCTCCTCTGAGTAAAGCTCGACGAAAAGTTTAGACCGTTCGAAGACACAAGATCTTGTTCGAACCAGAATATAACTTCTCGATTCTCTATATAGTTATTCTATATGATACTATGTATGCACATGTTTTACATAAACTCGACATTTATAATTACGGTTGCTGCTGGTGTTACTTAAAACTTAAGCCCAGCTTATGTTTCAGTCTTGATCACTAGTGATTTGACACACTACGCTAAGACCTAAAACTCGACTTACTTTTTAAGCAATAATCAGAATAATTCAATCATCCTGTAGTTTCTGGTGTTTTTGTAGTACAAGATAATTTAAGTAAATTATAACAAAAATTGAGTTTGTAAGTACATAAGCACTAAATAATATGTAATAAGTGCCAAGATTTATATATGATAAACCAGGTGTCTGTAAATCAGAATGAATTGTTCATATTCTAATGGAACTGAATTTCAATTAAAAATTGATACATCAATATTTTTCCACCTTGCAAACTAAAAGTTGTTCCTGTGCGAATACTTATTTTCTTACTGATATAAAACACCATTAAGAAGTATTCTTTAAAAAAAATCGCTCTGAGAGGAAACGAAATATACGGTTAAGAAGTGACTGAAAAGTTCTTATTGATTTGAATCTTTCTCAAGAATATCAATATCAACAAAAAAATGATAGATCGCCCAGCGACCTTTTTCATTATGCCATCGAAAATGACTTTCTTTGCTCTTTTTTTGTACTAATTTTCTTAACCGATACTTAATTTCCAAAGTACGTGATCTCTCTCTTTGTCAATGTTGCTAATTAAATCTTCCACTTACGTTTCCTCTCGATCACATTGTCGTTGTTTTAAGAAAACAAACGAAATCAATAATTTTGCCAAACCTTAAGACACTTGGATCCTTGGATTTCCTTTTTGCCGAATTCAGACCACACTTCCTTATTAGCGATCAATTTCTTTGCAAAAATTACCACTCTTTTGTACGTGAAACAGATTTCGAAGTTTCTAGCAGATTTCCCAATTTCTTGTCAATCTCCACCACTTTTTTGTATAGCTTGAATGTTGCTTCTGATGAGACGTAAAATTATCTCCAGTGGAGATAAAATACAAAGGAGACCCCGAGCAGCTTCAAAACGCCGATGTTCAGCTTTGCAGATTGGCATGCTCGCCAATTTTCCAAGCAAGAAGCGTTTAAGATGATATTAACATTGAATCCTCTTCATTTGCTCGTTCTTAGTTTTTATTGTGTTCCAAACCTAGCTGGGTTGAAGTCTTTGTTGACGAAAGAGAACCCTTGAAATTCTTCTTGGTTTATGTAGCTCACTTCATCAGGATCCTCTGGCGTCAATACTGGATCTTCTTTTGTAAATTCCGTATCAAAGTTCATTACATCCTTTTTGCTTTTCTAAAATTACCATATACAGTTATCGTGAGAGAATATTTTTTTAAAGGTTAAATTAACAAAATATATGTATATTGCAAAGTTTATCGTGAACTTACAGTTTTTGGTCTGATTGGCGGTTTCACTTTACGTGCTTCAAGTGCTTCCCAGTCAATCTCTTGAAAAAATGGATGGACTCTTATAGCGTTCTCGCCGCCATTAGCGGCAACGCAACCTAATCTCTTAGCTGGATTTTTTGTCATAAATCCTTTTAAAATAGAAACTGCTTCTTTTGAAATCCAGATAGGATACAGCACGTCGTCTCGTGAAATAGATTCAAATAGATCTTCTTCATTATCAGCTTCGAAAGGTGGCTGACCAGCCATCATTTCATACATTAAAACACCGAGTGCCCACCAATCGACGCTTGCACCATATTGCAATTCTTGAAGAATTTCTGGTGCAATATAATCGGGAGTACCACAAAATGTTGTCGTTGTTGTTTTTCCTTCAATAATACCTTCTTTGCACATTCCAAAATCTGCTAATTTACAGTGACCTTCGTGATCGAGTATTATATTGTCTAATTTAAGATCTCGATAAATAATATGATGCCTGTGTAGAAACTGCAACGCAAGTGTAACTTCTGCAGCGTAGAAGCGTGCTCTTGCTTCATCAAATCTTCGAGCTCTTTGGATATGAAACATCAGATCACCTGAAAAGGGAAAGTATTTTTTGTTTTCAACAAACAATGAGTACTATTTTTTTAGCCTTTGTTTTTTCACTATTTGTAATTACTCCTTACCTCCATTTACATACTCCATAACAAAAAATAAACGATCATTTGTTTGGAAACAACTATGAATAGCTGTAAGGAAAGGATGTTTTGCTGCAAGTGTTAAAATCCTCTTTTCCGTCATGGTGCAATCTACATCGTCGTCTTGTATGATCACGTCTTTTCTTAAAATTTTTACCGCGTAAACTTCATCGGGATTGGTTTTTCGTTCTACTAACATCACCTTCCCAAAACTGCCTTTACCAAGAACTTTGATGAAATTAAAATCTTCGATTCCAAATTTCCTAATCTCATTTTCACTAGCAGGTACCGCATTTTCTGTAGCAATAACAAGTGTTTCTTCGGTGTTTTGAACTGGTTGTGAATTATCCGTTGGTATTGGATCTGTGACAGTTATTGCTGTAGGTGGTTGACCAGACTGACAAGTAGTTGTTCTATAATTAATCTTTGGAGTTTTTATCTGTTTATCTGGTGATATATTCATTGCACTCAAAATTTCAGCCATAGCTTTAGTATTAATACCACAATTATTTGCTACATTTTTCTGGCATCTCTTGTGAACATTAATATTACAAGCTATATAAACAAAAATTCAAGTGTTATATGTTTATATAAATAGTTTTGTATGCAATAAATTTACTTTATTATATATTTACCTTCACATTGTAAGCCTTGTCTAAATAAACCATACAAGAGTGAGCCACAATGGTCACAGAACGTAAATCTTTTATAATTGTGAACAACAAAACGGTGTGGCATATCTATACTGAAACGTGGACTTTCTGTATCTTGACTTGACTGAAATCCAATATCAATCAAATATCCATTAATTAAATTTTCAAATATTTAACAATAATGGTAGAAATATAATAATTTGTAGTAAATTATGCCTACCTCATCTCTCATGCCTGGGCATTTTGTGATAACTGACCTATGACACCTCTTGTGAACTACACATGTACAGACTGAAACATAATAAAATCTAATTGAATGTTTATATTTTTTAGAACAGTTAACATTCAGCGTAGCATGACCTAAGCTGGCTGCATGCGTGATTAGACGCACTGGTTTGAAATGACAAGCATAAATAAAATTTGGTGGATGTTGTGATAGTCTTGCCATAGGAACAGTAAAAGCTTGAACATTGAAGACAGAATATAAACTCTAAGGATGCAATAAAATGAAACCACAGAACCTTGCGATGATTTGTTATATTTTATTTAGAAACATGCAATGAGATATTTCCCTACTGATAACCATATTAAATTAGAGCTAATATAATTTGCAGTAAGAACTTGATTGATGTGTTATGAATATTAAGTTTTACTTTCCAAGTTTCAGTACAAAAAGCACAGCATCAGATATTGAACCAAATTTAATATTGAAAATTTCAAATTTTTCAAACTGAATCATGAAACTTTTTAACCATCCTAAATGCTTTGATTTTTTATAAAGAACTAAGTACACATACACACACCTAGATAAACATATGTTCACACAAAGGTAGAGCAAGCAAATATATAATTATAATATTTGTTAATAACGTGTATGTGTCTTCTCACCTTGACACTGATAGCCCTGCTTGCCCAAGCCCCTGAAATACAACAGACAAAACACATCACATCATCTCCTTGTATACCCTCATAAAACACATACGTATGCTTTCTTGGGCCATAAACCATAATTAGACGTTTATGCTAGTCTTTTAAGAATGATTAGAAAAGATTATCATTCAATTTGTATTTCTGTCTTAGATGTTTGTAGTACTTTCTTAAAAATAATTTATTATTATATTGAGGAACTTTTGTCTACAGGTATAATAACAGGTTAATTTGTAAGATATTTCAGCAAACAGTAAATATGGTATATGCTTACAAAACCAATGCATGCAGCCTGTTTCTTAGTTAAATGATTTATTTTAACAAAATACATAAAAGATTATATAACCATTATATTACTGTAAAGATACCAAACAAAAAAAAAAAAAAGAATAAGGAAAAATGTTTGAAAGCTCAAAAGCCAATGTACTTAAAGAATTTGTTAAGTTTCCTTTTCCCTGCTCCAAATATTATGCGCTTGTAAACTAATTAAGAATTATTTCTTATATTTTCATGTTGCCACACTAATTAAATATTAAGAAAATATGTAATTTAAGAAATATTCTAACTGATATTTTGAGAAGCTATGTATTTCCTCAATGATGCTACAATATGTTCTAAGAAACCAAAACCCAGACATGCAATTTTTAAAATTATCCAAAGTTGTCCCAAAATCCCACATTAATTTAGTGTGCATAAGTTTATCAGATTTTAATGAAATCTACTTAAAACTAATTACAATTATCTTTTAAACTATACACACCAAATTAAATATATATAGTACTTTAAATTATGAAATGGTTGAAATTAGTAAATGTTTTGAATTAGTGGTACAATATGCATGTGAATTAGATCCTAAGCAATGTTAATAATATATTTTTATTAAAACACATACCATATGAATTCACGGCAGTGAGAACAGAAAGTTGGTTGCCTCAGGAAGGTGGCCATAAATTTGTGACCATTAACTTGATGAACCTTACGCCTCATAGCACCCCTCCGCCGGTTCAAACCCTGTCGTTCTTTGAACTCCCTCCTGGGCTCCTTCCCCGCTGTGATGCTACCACCACTCCTACCTCCGATGCCATCTCCATCACCTGTACCACAGCCTGTTTGTTGATCTAAAATTTTATTATAGAAGTATATGCTACATGCATTCTTTCTAATTGTTACCTGTACCTTACCTTGATCATTCCACTTTAGATCAATCCTGACTCTTAATTTTCCTTGAGGTTCAAGGTCAACCTAAAATGAGTTTAATTTTACACAATAATTCACAATAACTAATACTATTTGCTGAAAACATCAAGGAATAACAACAAAAAGTGTCAATATTAACAATGCATAGTTAAAATGCATAACAAATACAAATATTAATTAAAATATCATTTTTGTCTAATAGTATTTTAACTATTCAATATTAGGAATAATATATAAATCTAATATAAATGTAATATTTTTTTTAAATCAAATTCTGATAAATTATATTTCTTTAGTAACTATATGATTGAAATATCACTCAAATACATTACACTTTTGTACTTTTTGTACATTTTTAATATTTTAAGAAAATTAAATAAATTTTAGCCATCACATGCTTCAGATCTAAGAAATATCTATCATCTATCTTTCTTTGCTTTGGCTTTTATTGACATAATCTTATCAAACTACCTTGGATTCTCCTATAATGTCATAATAAAAAGACACAGATTACACGTTGCTTGTCTACTACACATGTCAACAACAAACATTGTACTGTCAACACAAAATTAACCGATCAATTACAACTAAACAGAAGTTAGGAATTAAAATATCGAAACATACATGCATAAATATAAAAAAGTGAAAATAAAAGTCAAAAATACTTTATTCCTTTGGTGAGAAATTTAACATGTATGTACAAAAAAGCAAAGTAGTAGTAATAAAAACTAACCCAAAGATCTGCAGTCTTGTCATCCCTGCTGACAAGTTCCTCAAAAGGAATACTACAATTTGCGACGAAATAATCTGGCGGTAATGCCGCATCGTGGAAGACGGTGAGTCCGAGCATTACCGCATCCTGGACTTCATGGGTAAAACACTCGTTCCATACAGGGTCGAAAGTTTTCGGTTTGGTAGATGAACGATCAAGATGATTCTCGTCGACGTCCAGTTGAACGTAAGGATCGAGTATAGGTTCATCCTGCCAAAACTTGCGTTGCTTGTCCGTCGCCCTTAGTCCGACTGCCTCGCATATTTTGATCTTCACTGTCCCCGTGAACATCGCGAATCAACTGCACGACACAATATTATGAAGAAAGTAAGGACAGAGGACGGACGAGACAGTCGACGGGCTGTCACGCTTGTCGTCGAGCTGACACTTCAATTGTGTGATCAGGTTATACAGAATCGAGTCAACCACCCGAGTTAAGTAGATCACCGGACCACCACCGTTATGATTAATGACGAGTTCTCCGTGGGAAGCGATCGCTGGAAGGTTCAATATATAGACGATATCAAAACCTCCGAAATAATTTCACAAATAAATTCCCGCGATAAATACGACCTTCCGTGAAAATGTGTGGCGCACCGCTTCGAATATTCCGTCCGACGAGCCTTTGGCTCTCTCTCCTTTCCCTCTCGCTCTTGCACGCACACTCTCTTTGCTATTTCTCTCTCTCTCTCTTTATCTCGCTTCCAAATTTCTTCCCCTTCCTTTTCTCCACCTCCCTTTCCCTTTCCCTTCGTCACCACCACCAGCACCGTGCAGTTATAAACACTCGGCTCTCTTCGCGTTCACACATAACAAATACGGAAACGAAAGCAGAATTGGTGATGGCAGCAACAGGAGCTTGTCGAAATTAAGACGTAAAGGAGGTGGATGCAGGACGAGCGAACGAGAGGCGATGCTGTTTATTGCGAGGCGCCCCGTTCGCGAGTGTAAGATCTGTCCTTGTATTTCTGATCTCCTGAGAGCCATTAAACTCTTTTTTCTTTCTTCGATCCTATCCTTTGTGTTTTGCTGCTTTGCACCACTAAACGATTCTATACGCGGTTTGCACCATGAAATTTTGTTCCACGAATTACGAAAAAAAACGACGTATCGCAGATAAGCACTCGTTTACCGTCCTTGGACCGCTCGATTGGTCACTCCGCGCTTCGTCTAAAGGGCGACTCGATCTCGGCCTCGAATGCCTTTCGGAATATTTCGTGCGTTTCCGTCGAAAGCTCAGGCTGCGTTTTCACCCGCAGACTGAACTGTTTATCCCACTAAACTTGGCACTGGATTCTTGGACATCTCTTCGTATAAATATCATATAAATATTAGACTATATGTAAAATTAAAGGAATATATGTAATTTTTCGTGTATAAATTATATTATTCAATGATACGCTGGGATTTAACTGCATGGAGAACTTGCGAAATAAGTGAAGACACTAGAATGATGCGTAGCCATCTGATTGGCGGAGGTCTGGCTAAAAAAAGCGCGCTTCTACTTACGGTACTGGTATCCAGTGTTTACTGAAAGATCCAGAACTATATGGGTACTAAATCTTTTTTGTCAAAATACATTCTAAATTAACAAAAAAATTGCTTTCTTTTACATTATAAAATGTCAATATAATATTTTATGACTGTCATGAAACGTAGATTTAAGAATTTAATGTAGGAATACAGATTTAGGGAAATAGACCTCTGATTGGGTAAACGGTTGGTCTCATATATAAAGTAATGATCTAAATATATTAATATCGACACCCTGACGAATAAAGGAATTTTCCGATCTTTATTGAGCTATATAAATAAACGAACACAGTATGAGTCTAATATTTACACCCATGATATACATTTAACGCAACGATATCCTCGCGTTTCCTCCTCGAGCCAGGACATTTTTGCGTTGTTGGCTCCAACACGTTCGAGACGAAATAGAGAGACCCGCGAGAAGATCCGATTGTTCTAAACAAGAACTATTATTTCTCGACGGCCGATCGAATCTCTTTTCTTATCTGCTCTATGAAAATCGTAGCTACGTTACACCTTGTATTATGGAATCAATATCATATGACACCCACAGTAAAGGAAGTACCGTTTGCAATTTATTCGGTCGACCGTCGATTTTGGCAGTCGCGATGTATCTCGTATTCAAAGAATAAATATCTCATCGAAATATGAAGGGGATTACGTAGACGTGACTTTGATCATGACTATATTCGCGCACGGGATAAGAGCGATCTACGCGTCGATTTCTCGATCGTTCTATGAACCGACAACCACATCCGATGTAGACGTACTCTCTTGCGCTTCAGCGATGTCGTTCTTTTTCTCTTCTTGTTCTACACCCGATATCACATACACTGGTTGCTGGTACGCAAGAAAATGTTGATCTGCAGCTAACGCTTTCGATGGATCTTTCATTTTTATCTGAAATAAATATTTATACTTTATTGATTTAAAAAAGAATTTGTTTAGAGACTTATTAAATGTCCATCTTTTAAAACATCGAGTACATATTTAATTGAAATCGAAAGTATACCTTTTTACGGTACAACATTAATAAAATTAGCAAACTGCTAATAATAAAAGCGCTTCCGGCAGCTAAGACCAAAGTGGCTGTTTGGTAAACGGGTGTTTCCACTTCCGTGAGGATTTCCCGTTGCTCCAACGCTACAATTCTACTTTGCATGGCCATTGGTGGAGATTTGTGCGTGAAACGAGAAGTAGTTGCGTCCGCAAACGAGCCCAACATAGACAGCTTTTGTATTCTGGTTAATTCTTCCAAATGGAACGCTATGTCCACTTTGTTTGGACCTATTACTTCGAAACTGAGTATAGCTGAGTCTTGGTTGATTACCACCCGTACGTCGTTCTTTATTCTGGCGCCTAGATCGTGAAGAAGTTCCTCTGCTTGTCTAATGAGTGTACCCTCATCATCAGCGAGGAATCGTCCCGGAAAATGTAGAGTAATTTCTACAGCCTCTACTGGTGTTGGCACTACGTTTACCAATAAAAATATATATAATATAGATCTAATTTTTTTTTCATTAATTTCCTCATCGAGTCATTTATTAAATTTCAGTTTTATTGCAACATAATTTTAATAGTAATATTATAAATTATTATTAAGGTGTTGAATTAAATTTTAATGGTCACAGAACAGCTATTTTAGAGTGACTCTATGAATGTTTGCAAAATGGCTCGATGCAAAAGATAACATAAATATCTTATCTTACAGCAAATATTCGTTCCCTTCAGGAATGGCTCCGATCCAGTGAGTTGATTGCCCGCCTCATCGACGCACCAACACGTATCACCAGCGCACTGCGTTGGTTCGAACCTGCCCTGACGATCGCAAATGGCTGGAACATGGCCTTTATCCTTCATGGCCTGACATCTAGTACCTAATATTTTCCCGATTTGCTTTTCATCAGTTTCCAAGTTAATTAGAGCATTCTCCATGAAGGCCTGAATTTCACGGTCGATTTCTTGAATTGCCGGTCCCCTGCCTCCACGTCTGGCCTGCCTGAAGTTACACTTCGGCTCTGGTCCTCTGGTAAGCGAACCTTTCACCGGCTGACCCTTTCTGTTGACACACCAGCAAACACCGACGTGTTCCAAACACTGTACAGGCTCCCACATGCCGTTTTCTGGGTCACACCGAGGTAAAAAGGTCGGTTGCTTCAGCCTCTGAGACGTTTTTAAGTTCTTCTCCCTAAGTCGTTCGCATTGTGATAATACAGGGCATACGGTGTCGCATACCAGGCGACTGGAGAAGTCATTGTGACCTAGAGTACACTCAGATTTCCTCCTACACTCGTTACGTTCTGGGTCGAAGTACCATCTTTCTGTTTCATTCGCACCTATTCCCAGATTGCACGATACTTTTCGTGGTGGTTCGAAACAAACTTCGCGAGGTTTTGGACAGCATACAGCGTATTCATCCAAAGGAGATAGTTCACATTTGTGCGTGGATGGACAGTGTTGGCCATGCGGACCACAAATCGCTGGAGAACCATTATGATCCAATAGAGGAGATCCATTCGGACAAGGATTATCTTTTTTTGGTAAACAGACTGGTACAGGTGGACATGGTGGTACGCTACAGGCTACTTCGACCATTCTGCAAGCTTCATTTTCTCCACGACAAGTCACGGACCTGCAAGGATCTCGACAGGAACACGTTGGACAACCGCTATCAGGATCCAGTTCGAATCCATCAGGACAGTCAAGCTTGCAATCGATCTCTGGACACATGAGCGGTGTACTACACTTTGGTACTATTCCTTCGAGAACACGAGTACCTGCTGCTTCCCTGCCCTCCTTGTCTACGCACCAGCACATTCCATTGTGACACTGAACTGGCTCAAAAGCTCCACTGGCATCGCATCTGGGAATGTAGATTCTTCTAGCTGGTTCTCCAGACTCTCTGGCCGCGTGTTCTGCAACTGCACGTGCATGTTGGCAAGCAGTGGCCATCACAGGAGCCACGCACTGCGTTCCACAACCAGTGGAACAGCATTTTTCTTTTGCCGAACATTCCTGATCGTTGCTACATTGTAGTTCACAACTCGACGAACTTGGTACCAAATATGGACACTGGCCTGGTTTCATAGCCAGACAGGCTGGAACTGCTGGACAATGTTGTCCTGATCCACAATTCACATCGACCATTGTGCAGGTTTCGTGGGGACCACAGGAAACGTCTTTGCAGGGATCGTGACAATGACATTGTTCACAACCAGTTGCATCTACTTCGTAGCCGTAAGGGCAGGTTAAATCGCAGGATAAAGATCCGCATAGCTTTAGTAGATCGTTTATCTCTTTACAATCGGTGCTGCGATTCACTCCTCTTTTTAGAACAACACCGCGGTCATTCACGCAGGAACAAGTACCGTTGTGGCATTGTAGAGGCTTATAACTGCCATCCTTTTCGCATTGTGGAGGCGAGGTTGCCAGAGACATGTCTTTTCTTGTTCCTTCCATGCGTTCATTGAATTCCCTCAAATATTCACACACTGAAATAATTTTAATAATATCGTCAAATCATTGTTTTTGATTTCATTGATGTTTAAGTTTCTTTTAGTTTAAATTGGAGTCTTACTGGTCTGTGCTTTCGTGGAATTGGCTGACGTCATACAGCATACGGATTGTCCAGCTTCCGGTACAACGGTGCATTTGTAGCTTTGGGGGCAAGTGTCGTTCTCAGAACAGGTTACCGCGTTTCGTTCGTCATCGATTAATGGAGTTCCATAAACACAGGGACTTTTATAAGCTTTCTTAGGTTTACACTCCGGTCTGGTTGGACAGAGGAAGTCTGGACAGCCATCCTCACGATGCAGTACACATTGCTCTCCTGCTGGACACGGAAAACTGAAAAAAACAAAAAAGAAAACAATTAGGATCACCGCAGATAATTATGAAACGCTATAATTAAATATAATTCACCTACCCTTCGCAAGGATTATCACATTCGCAAGTTGGACACCCGGAAGCGTCATTTTTAAATCCATATTGGCAAACCTGAGCGCACTGTTGCGAAACACAGGAGGCCGGAAGGGACCTTCCCTTTGTTATCGACTTACAATCAACTTTATCCGCTGGTCCCATGGAACCGGATATCTTTCGACCGTTGTTATCTACGCACCAGCAAACTAACCCATTTCTCGAACACTGCCGGCTCTCATAACCACCGTCTAGAAAATTAAGCAAATTATCAACATTTATCTTACGAACAAACTACAAGGAGATGTATCTTAAATTGAAGTTGTCCAAATAAATTCAGAATTCTTGAAACCTTACAATCAACTTTTGCCAATGTATCTCTAATATGATTTCGCCAAAAACAACTTTCTACAGGCAATACCAATTTAATAATCAAACAACCTAATTAAAAATCCCTCGTTCACCTTTAGGTCCATCTTACCTTCCATGCATTGAGGAACATATCCACGCCCTTGCCTCTCAGAGATACTCAGCATTTCCGCCAGCATCCGATCTCTATGACAAGCACTGAGTCCCCGTGGAACGGAGCAAACCCCACCGCCGCACTTCTCGCTTTTGCAACATTTCTGCGGCCCTGGACATTCTAAGTCATGCTGACAGGAATTACCACAGATCGCTGGCTCTTCCAACGGGCACGTTCCCGGTCTTTTCAGTGTAATGTTGGATGGACAGCAGACCCCGTACTCCTGTTTCGGCTCTACGAGGCAGCTATACATCGGCGGGCAGGTTGGTTTCCCACGTGAGTTGCCGCAGAGAAATGGTCTTGGTGAGTCCGTGATTTGCAGCGGTTCGCCGGCTGGGCAGATCGTAGACAGTGACTTCGCTTTGCGACAGCTGGGAATTGGCGGACATGGTGGACGGGCGCACGTTACATCAATCAACTCGCACGTTTGACTGGTCCCCGGACAGGTGATCCCACGGCAAGGATCCCGGCACTCACATTTAGGACAGCTCGTTTTCGGCTCGATCTGCTCGTGGGAGTGATTAATGAGCAGCTGTTACGGGGGCTTCAGCGTTATATGGAGAGGAGAGTGTGGTTCTCGTGAAAAGTAGTTCTGGAAGCGATTATTTTGCCGCGCCCGAGAATCGCTATGAAATATCGCAGTGATTATCTGAAGGGAAGATTGCTTATCGCGAAGATTAAACACCGTGTTCTGGTAGCGATAATTTAATTAAAAACTTATTTCCGAAATTTACCTCAAAGCCCAATGGACATAGCATCCGACAGCTATGCGCCGGGCACTCCCGAGGATTGTCGCAATCGATCATGTCCTTGGAGGATCCCCTGGTACCTGGAACCTCAACGCCGATCTCGTCCACGCACCAGCAGTGCTTCTCACGTGGATCACATTGTATCCTTATGAATTCGCCGGTCTCGTTGTTACACTTTGGTATGAATTGTGACGGCCCGTGTGGACCAAGGGCACGCGATCTTCTCACGGCTGCCTGCGCCAGCTGTTCGCATCCTGTCAGCTCGCCGGTGACGCATTTCATGCCGCAAGCTGTTTGGCAGCAGCGTTCTCCCGTTGCCTGACATTGAAAGTCAGTTTTGCAACTTGGCGCCCTCGCGGGACATAGATTCTGCTCCTCGAAGGCTGGACATCGACCTACTGCCTTTAACGATGGCTCTGCGAACAGGAATCGCCATTGTGTTACACGATAAGAGAAATATAGTTGATGGCTAGAGATCTGGCTTGTCCAAGATCTCTGTCGCAATTCCCTCCTTCAAGCTCATCATTTTTACAGTTCTACTACCTGGTTACTACTCAAGTTAACGCAACGATTAAGTAACACTATGGTTTAATTCGTCTGTGGAGGGATGCATAAATTTTAATCATTCTCCATGAACAAAACATAAGACAACGAAATGGTTCCCAGATGACACTGCAAGCTTAACCAACCCAGAGATGATTGGAGTACTTAAAAGTTTCTGCATCCTGTTAGCCAACATCATCCTCGTCTTAAGCCGTGGTACAGACCATAAGATTTTCCCACGTATTCTTTTTACTCGATTACCATACCAGGTCAACCAAGAAAGGAAGAAGAAGACTGTACCAAGAGCTACTTCAGGACTTAAGACTCTCCGGGGTCCAGTTTCGGCCAATCTCTCCCGCTCTTTCAATTAAGACGCGGAAGAGGTCACCAAGGAAAGAAAAATATTCCCCTGGCCCGGAATGCCTACGAACGGCGTAAAGAAGCGGCACACCTTGACACGAATTTATTCGAGCGTGACGGAACGAACATTCGGCGGATCTTACCAACGGAATTATCATCATCATCATGTACCACGCGACGACGCCGCTTTATAGGTCAGAACATCGAGGCGATCTCGGCGCGCGTATATGGATCTCGCGGAACAGCGCCGCTTTCGTTCTCGAACACCAGGCTGAAGTGTAGCGCGACGATAATAATAATAAAAATAGCCGGAGTCGAGCTAACGGTTCCTCGCATCCTACTGCCACACTTACTACGCTCGCCTAACGTGCTACGACCACGTTTCCAGCCGCTTCCAGCGTGCTCGAGACGTTGCCCGGCCTCTCGCCGTAGGCGGAACACCGGACAGGCAAAAAGGAACAAGGTGTACAACGGCCACGGGAATCGAATGCAACGGAGACGACTGCTCGATTAACAAGTGCCTCCGGTCACGCGACCTTTTTCTCGTTAACTTGTCCAAGAACTTGCGACTACACGATGGGTATGCTTCCTTCACGACCACGATCCTTTTGCAGATGGCCGGGAACAACTCGCCAGTGGTGAATAAATTCGGTCGATGGTTATTGGCTCTTTGAGATAGATAGGTAAGATTGCCAGACTTTAAAAGTTCCTTTTCGAGAATCTATAACAAGGTACAATTGGGAAAGTGACGAGTTGAGAATAAGTTAGAGGTGTGAAGTCGATGGTAAATATACTTGAATGGTAACTGTAAGTTACAGTGATTCATAGAAATCTTCTTAACCTTCAATTGGATCCAATAAAATGTTTGAACGACTATCCTGCAATACAGAATACAAATTAAAATGAAAAATAAGTATGAAAATTGAATAACCTAATTGAAATTGTCACCTCTTAATTGCAGTAAATTGCCATTTTGTTGAACTGCGTTGTGTCTATGCTATTCTAAAATGGTACAGCTTGGGAGGATGAAGCCAGTCGTGAATCACATTTATGACTCATTGAACATTGTCTACTAGTTGAGAAACGACGATTCAAAATGATTTAAAGGAGCCACACAACGAAAGTACACGCATGATTACATGTGTAGAACATATGGGATAGGAAGATCCATGCGGCGCATGTTAATCGACTTTTTACTTTGACTCTCTATACTCCACGTTTTCACGCCGTTAAAGATTTCATAAAAGTCTAGTGAAACCTACGGCACATCCTATTACCCGAATTTCCGGTTCGTTGACCATCGTCCTCCTTCTCCCCGGGCCCCACCCCGCTCTATTATAACCATTTCGTTAATCCTCGCCGCAACACGCGAGTTTCGTTATTACGACATTCTCACGTTCGAATTTTCTGTTGTACGATCGTAAATTCTATAAAATTCTGCAAAATGAATTTTGGATACAATGTTAACGTCCGAACGAAAATTCTAAAACTCATTTTGTTATAATTTTTGAATGAGTAGAAGTTTCAACTATAAATTAAACAAATTTAATAAACAAAGAATATCGGAATAACTATAATGTTCATTCCTCGTGTTATTACTATACATACCTAAGTATACATTCGGTCAACTCCTCTCACCAGAGAGAAACATAGTTTAGGTTATAAATCTAGAAATAGATTTTGCAATTAGTTTGCAGAAAACTTAAATTCTCTAAATTAAGTGCTCTATACGAAGCATACAAGTTTTTCTACGCTTCATCGGCTTCTTGAATTCGTTCATTTAACTTTTCTAGATAGAATGTGGCGTCGAGCAAAAGTATTTCAAGCATCTCTGTGAACGCAGTATAGACGATGAAAGATGAAGGAACAAGAGAGAAAGAGGGGGCGAGAGAGAAAGAGAGAGAGAGAGATGGCAGAGAGAATGTCAAAGGCCCAGAGAAAAGGAAGAAATACATATACAGTAAGGCAGTGAAGAGGAAACGTATATAAGTGAGGAAAGAAGTAAATGCGGACACATCGACGAGGCGGAGGAATGCGGAGTGGAATGTACCTTAACGGTGCGAGAGAAATTCAATTTGTTATTGGTCGTAGCATGCAAATCGTTCGTGGGGCTGGTATTTATCGAGAAGATCCCGGTATCCTGTTGTAACACATCGCGGATCGATCAGAGGGGGCTGAGCCTCCATCGTCCACTGTCGACTGGTAATTTAACCTGCTAATTAACGTCTCGTTAAGTGGCATCGTTCATCCGCCTAGAGGACGTATCGTGTGGTTCACTGGTGTATAATCCTCGACAAATAATTAACCCATCGATTAGGGTGCCCTCTCGTGGTGTCGTCGAGATACCGATACCGATACTTCGTTCCGTCGTGTAACTGTGTCGTTAAAAGCGTTTAATGATACCGACGTTGTAACGGACTGCATCGAAAAAGTCGTTTCCAGAGTGATTTAACTCGCTCTTGAACGACTTTTAAGCGCGGTGGCGCTTGTACATGGTGTACCATTTGTTCTTTACTTTCCTACGCAAAATACGAGATGTGTCGTTGAATTTTTCACGTCGAGCGGGACGTCGTACGATGAAATATGAAGCACAATTTTGAGTACCATGTTTACACTTCAGATGGCGGGTAACGCGAATATGAAAGTGTCCTCGACAATTTTGAAATGAAAACTCCCATGAAATCCTCACGCTCCTCGAGTGTTTCCCCAGCCATTATCAATCTTACGAAACCATTTGTCCCCAGATGTCACCTCGCACGCGCTACGAACAAATAAAATTCGGGCGCGGGAAATATCACGAAGGAGCAATATCTTCGGAGCAGGACAGATCGTAAAGAGGATTAGGCTTCTTTTAAGGAGGCTTGACTTTTCCCGGCTTGGCCGGCCGTGGTTTTTCGCAACACCAAGGACGAATCTTTCGATGAGGACACTTTTCAAAATCCGATCACGTCCGTGGCGTCGCATTATATGCAGATGCACGCCCGTTTCAAGAGCTTGCTTTCCTTTTTTTCTCCCTCTCTCTCTTCTCTCTCTCCCTTAACGTCGTCCCCGCCTCGTTGGCCGAACGTGAACACAGCACCGGCCTCTATTGTTTGCTAATGGCCGCTCTTTCAATAATTCGGGACCAATCATTACGGACGGACGAGCCGCCAGGGGACGACGGGGAAATCGCTGAAAATAAAAAAAAAAAAAAGGGAGAAAAGAGAAGAGGAAGGGGAAAAGGAAACGAGGGAAAAAAAGAGAGTAAAATAAACGCTGGAGAAAAGGTAGACGTACCTGCTGTGACCGACGATGACAAAGATAGTAGCAGCCAGCAGGTCGATGACACCCACACAACGGCGCAGGCAAGCCCACCGTTGCAGAAATCACGGCGCATCCTCAGCGCATCAAGTGATTTTTTTAATCGGCCGCTATATCTGAAATTATCGAGAAAAAAGAGGGAAAAAAATAGCGAATGAAACGTAGTCAGCGAACCGCGTGTGTTCGACAATGTCGTGATCGATCGATACGCCGGGGGACCGTGATGATGTTGTGTTTAACGGAGCTCGAGTACCTGAATTTTTTATTGCACCCTCTGAACCGGTGTCTATCGCGTTGATAATGCTTGGCAAATTGTTATTTAATTAAAAACACCCGGATATTTGAAATTAAAATTAAAATTCTGCCTCGCAGGGCGTACCCGTTATTTGTATCACTTATTTTACAAAGTAGCGTATAACGAGATTCATATATTTTATCGAGTTTACCAACGATGAGGTATAATCAGAGTAATGCATATTGATTTTTCAAAGCTTCCTATTTAATTGGTTATTGCATCAGTTTTTAATAGGGGTGTCCCGTGCCCCCTTCGTCGGGGCAAAATGGCAAAGAGCGCCTCGGTAATAATAATCCGCGATAAAAAAAAAAGAAAAAAGAAAAAGAAAAATGAAACGCACGGCCTAGATTCGAAATCGTACACCAATCGAGGAGAAACAGGTATTCCATCGTGAGAGTCAGGCACCCGGAGAAGCTGTTATCGGCTGAGGAAATAATTAATCGGTCCTTCGAACGTTTCGTCAGGAGAAAGTTGCCACGCGTGACGGAATCAAGATCCGAAATAACGTATTTCTGTTTCCTTTTTCCGCGCGGAACCCTGCTATTAAAGTACCTTAAAGTTACGTCTCGCCGTTTCCGCGACCAATAAAGCCGGGATTATAGATCCGTAATGGAAAAAGTTTCTTCTAGAAACCGAGGAAAGTCCTCGGCAGGCAGTCGAAAGCAACAACCGGACAGTTTTTCATTTCTCTATGAAAAGAAATTTCAACGAAATTAACGGAAGGAGGAAACGTATGCCGTTCGACCCGAGATAAAATTGATTTGCCTCTCGGCAAGTGGATGAACGGGACGCTAATGAGAAAATAAAATGTCCGCCAAGGGGCTCAGAATTTGCAAAAAGAAAAAGTCCCTGCGTTGTGAACGCTAGCTTTACGAACGCTATCTTTATACCTATTTCTACGGGTACCTGTCAAATTTACAGGTAAAGGAAACCACGTGTCTTCCCTTTTTTGAACGATTAATTTAATTTAAAAACTATTACAATATTAACAGTCTTAACCCTTTTAGTGCCATATTTGCGTATGCAATGGCGTCTTATTCTTCGCATTGCGAGAAAGCTCTATCTCAAAATAAATTTACAAAACGTTATAAATAGTCTAATTTCATTGCAAGAGAATGAGAAAAATTGTTTTTGAGTTTAACTTTTCGTTATATTCTATGCTGCTTGGTGCCGATGCTCTGTATATTCTGAGGCGATAATGTAATCGCAATATCTTTATACTGTTTATTTTATTAAAATGATTAAAAATGTAATACTTATACTTCGTACTACGTGACCTGACATGAAACTGTAATCTAACGATGATTATTCTTATGAGCAAATATTATTTCTAGAACAGAAACTTGTTTCTACTTGTTTTCCTTCGTGTTCCATATTAATATTATTCGTACGATTTTCAATAAATATTGAAATACAATTGGCATTGAATTATTCTCCATTTCTTCCGTAATACGCTGAATTTTGAATTTTTTAAATATCGTTCTTAGCTTGGTTTTTATGAGCTTTCTCCCAAGCTTTGGTAAATTCGTCGAATTCGTTCGGTTGTCTTTGCATAGGCAGCCATTTTTCGCTCGGCACTAAAATGGTTAACCCTTTGCACTCGAGAGGTGAGTTTCAGTCACCATTTCATAAAATTTGGCAGATCGATATAAATTAATATATATAATATAAATTTAATGCAATAGTGTGCGAGGTATCGAAATCAAATAACTCTACAATTTTATTATTACATAATTCTATATTTACTGCTGAAAAAGGTATCGTCAGTATTTTAGTAGAGAACATTTGAATTTCTACTCTCCTCTAACGAAAAAATGCAAAGTCGAGTGCAAAGGGCTAATATAAGTTAACTAAATCTTTCACTGTCGTATAATTGGAGTAACCCATCCGTCAAATTGACGGGTTTCGTAAATCTAGCGTTAATACGCTTCTTATGACACGTGTCTGTACCGACAAATTTGCTGTAACGTATTTATGTAACAGGAAAGAAACGTGGCTGGAATCGAACGGGTTTTTCTCACTCTTGGAAGAGAAACCTGGTCGAAATTAAAGAAGCGAAAGATCTATACCGTTCAACCGGAGAAAAATTTATTTACCTTGCCGGTGTACGAAGAGACCTCGGCGGAGAGATAAAAATCAGGTTGAAAGCGATGCAAGGTTAGATTCAGGTTAAAACGAAGAATTTCTACATCGCTGATATACGTTCTCGAGATAAAACCGATCTGGTTGGTAAAAATTTCTTGAACAATTATCACTGTAGAGAAGCAGGCTGCTCGCCTCGGACATAACGAAGCGCGAAATAATTGATGCAGTTGCCAACAATAGAAGTCTATGGCGCTGAAGGCGGCGGTTGCCGGGATCGCGATTAATTTTGCAGTTCAAGAACGTCGACCCGTCGTTTTATCGTTGATGTCTCCGGCTCCTAATAGGCGGATGGAAAATAATCTTTTAATTCTATAGCCTGCCTAAGTGGCACTCTCGGGAAAAGTGTATTCGCGGCGGGCGAACCGTCGAGGACTAGGCGGCGCCGCAACTTAGGGATTCTCCTCTTTAAAAGGGAGAATAACAATGGAAGTTATGTCTCCTTATTCGTTATGCCGCGGAGAATATTCTAATGCGTTCCTCTCCGTTATTCATGAGCCGCCAGAGTCGGCTACGAGATCTACGAATTGTCGGGACGTTTTCGTTTCTTTTCACCTCCCTTTGTTCCTCGTTACAACTTCGACGTCGCAGACGTTTCTTCTCCTCTTCCAACCCCTTTCGTCCTGGCTCGCGGATATTTTCATTGTGGCCACCGTTCCACCGGGGGTAAAAAGATGATTAAAGGTAAAAAGGAAGGATCCGTTTCCCTTCCTATCGTCTCCTATTCTCGTTCCCTGCGGAATCCTCGACATGTTTGTTCGGCGTAAAAATTGTCGGGACGGTAACTCGGGGTGTACTCGAGACGTCTCTCGTGAAAATGTCAGCGACCTCGACGGATCGTCTGATCGGTTATTTCTTCGATACTTTATTTCCGATCTTATTTTAAAAAGAATTCCATCAAATATTAGCATAAATGTCGGGAATATCACGGGGGCAAGGTACACAGAGCCCGGCAGCTTCCATTCGGCGCAGTTTTTCAGTATCAGCTACGTGTACGTTTTATTAAATCTCGAATCTCGGCGCAATCTCTTACATTAGTCCCTCGTACCACTACCTCGGTGTGTTTTGCTTTAATCTCAAATTTAAACGAGCCACTCTGTTTTAATAACGATACGGGAGTTGGTTCAAATTTTTCATGAAAATTCAATTTAAACCCGTAGAAGAACTTCCAAGCCTCCTCGCCCAGTGTTCCCCGATTCGTCTTCTTTTTGCTAATTTTCCTCGCTGCACCACGTCACGCGTACATAGACCGCTACGTTGCAGAAGATCCTGCAGGAACGAGCGACCGTGAGCTTCGTTTCGGGGTTTTTGTGCACGTTATTTCGGGATTCGTACGACCCGTGTTCGATGGCGAAATTACTGACGGTTACATCCTTTGGGAAGCCTTTGAATTTAGGGTGTATCCCTGCCGTATGAATAATGCATGGAGAAAGAGAGCGTAACCGCGGCTCCCCTGCCAGCAGCGTCCTGGTAATTACATCGATGATCACGTTAAGATTACGCCAGAACGGTCGTTACACCGCCATTATGCCGAAAATTCTAACTCTACGCAGCCAGTGTAATTGATACCTGAAAAGCGTACCTCGCGTTCTTCGCATATCTCTGCAACAATTTCTACGCGGCGAAATGACGAAACAACGAACGTTGCACGAAGCGTTACGGTTTCGTTGCGATCTCGAGCATGAGGATGGCCTCGTGAGGATCGAGACCAGGTTTCGAGTGAAAAGAAATTTCTTCCCATCGATCGCGAGATCAATTTCGCGTGGAACAACGTGGTAGAGCTTTTGATCGAGCCGATGGCAAATTTACCTCTATGACCCTGCAATTTTGCCTCGCTGAAAGGAATGATCGAGAAAGTAACTGTCACCTCGCAATTATCTCGCAGGTGTGAGTAACCGTGTGCTAATAAACCAGCCAAGTGGCAAAACTTTTCGCTACGAAGCAAATGTCGAATGGATGCTGGGAATAGAAGAATGGCTGTCACTGGACTGTCGTGAACGGGTGACGACGAAGTTACGTCTTCAGGGTATATATAAGCTTTAGAGAGACGAAATGGTCAATTCGAATTGAACCATTGTTTAAAAAGATTCTTCTATAAACGACTGTTACATTTAAACGAGTGAGAAATGTACTTATATAGATTTTAAGATTCGAATATTCTATTCTATTATAACTCTTGTAGTATAATGGCGAGTTTAAATCTAATTGTAAGTGATGGATCCCCGTCGTATAAAATTATACCCAATGTATTTCAACAGGCACGGAATTTGTACTGATCCTAGAAACCTTTTTACAGTCTCGTTATAGATGAATTAAATATACAATGGCTAATTAAAATTAAATGCTCGGTTCACAATTGTTCGTAATTAACTCGTAACGTAAAAATACGGTTGCAACTTTTGCACATACATAAAGGCTTCAATCAAATTTATCTTCTTTGACGCAATATACGCCGAATAAATTCCACCTGTTCAAAGCGCGTGACGACCCGTTCTATTGGCTAGCTTCGAAAGAAACTACGTTCAAAAATTGTTACATTGTCGCGAAATGTATTTTTAAGGAAATATATCGTACTTGCATCGAGTGCCAAAATTAATGTGAAACAAAAGAGGAAAACGACAAGGGTCGATAAATGGAAACTCGAATGCGTACAATAATATCGAAATCCTAACGATATCG